CGAAACTCACTGAGACAATAACAGATACAGTCTTCCCACCAGGATATGAGATCCTGAGGAAAGATAGAAGGAGCAGAGGAGGAGAAGGGGTTGCACTGCTTATAAAAGACCGATGGAGATTTGAGGAAATGGAAGGCATGGATGAAATTGGAGGAAGGGACTACATAGTAGGTACACTTCAGTCTGGGGCACATAAGGTAGTCATTGCAGTGATGTATAATCCACCACAGAACTGTAGGAGGCCAAAAGAGGAATATGAAGAGAGCAACAGAGCAATGGTAGGCACACTGGCCGAGGTGGCAAGAAGGGCTCACTCGAGCAGAACAAAGTTACTGGTTATGGGTGATTTCAACCACAGGGAGATCGACTGGGAAAACCTGGAGCCACACTGGGGTCCCGAAACATGGAGATCCAAGATGATGGATGTGGTACTGGAAAACCTTATGCATCAACATGTTAAGGACACTACCAGAGAGAGAGGGGAGGATAAACCAGCAAGACTGGACTTTGTGTTCACCCTGAGCAGTTCAGACATTGAGGACATCACATATGAGAGATCCCTTGGAGCTAGTGATCACATGGTTTTGAATACATAGTAGAATTACAAGTAGAGGGTAACAGGAGTTGAATGGGGAAAGCCAAACTATAAAAAGAGGGACTACACAGGTATGAGGAACTTCCTGCAGGAGGTTCAGTGGGACAGAGAATTGAAAGGAAAGTCAGTAAATGAAATGATGGAATATGTAACAACAAAATGCAAGGAGGCAGAGGAAAGGTTTGTTCCCAAGGGCAATAGAAATAATGTGAAGACCAAAGCGAGTCTTTGGTTTACCCGAAGGTGTAGGGAGGCAAAAACTAAGTGCAAAAGAGAATGGAAAAGATACAGGGGGCAAAGGACCCAGGAAAATAGAGGGACTAGTCGAAGAGCCAGAAACGAGTGTGCACAGATAAGGAGGGAGGCCAAGTGACAGTACGAAAACGGCATAGCATCGAAAGCAAATTGACCCAAAACTGCTTTATAGCCACATTAGGAGGAAGACAACAGTCAAAGACCAGGTGATCAGGCTGAGGAAAGAAGGTGGGGAACTCACCAGAAGTGATCAAGAGGTATGTGAGGAGCTCAAGAGATTGAAGGAAATATTTACAGTGGAGACAGGAAGGCCTCTGGGTGGACAGAACAGAGGGGGACACCATCAAGGAATGCACCAACAAGTGTTAGATGACATACAAACAACTGAGGAGTAGGTGAAGAATATGCTAAGGGACCTTGATACCTCAAAGGCAATGGGACCAGACAACATCTCCCCGTGGGTCCTAAGAGAGGGAGCAGAAATGCTGTGTGTGCCACTAACCACAATCTTCAACACATCCCTTGAAACTGGTCAACTTCCTGAGGTATGGAATATGGCAAATGTATCACCCATATTTAAAAAAAGGAGACAGAAAAGAGGCACTAAACTATAGACCAGTGTCTCTGACAAGCATAGTATGCAAAGTAATGGAGAAGATTATCAGAAGAGTGGTGGAGCACCTGGAACGAAACAAACCTACTGAAGTTTTATGATAAAGTAACAGAAGTAAGACACGAGAGAGAGGGGTGGGTTGATTGCATCTTCTTGGACTGCAAGAAGGCCTTCGATACAGTTCCTCACAGGAGATTGGTGCAGAAGCTAGAGGATCAGACGCATATAACAGGAAGGGTGCTGCAATGGATCAGAGAATACCTGACAGGGAGGAAACAACGAGTCGTGATACGTTATGAGGTATCACAGTGGGCACCTGTGACGAGCGGGGTCCCACAGGGGTCGGTTCTAGGACCAGTGCTATTTCTGGTATATGTGAATGACATGATGGGAGGGTTAGATTCAGAAGTGTCCCTGTTTGCAGATGATGTGAAGTTAATGAGGAAAATTAAATCAGAAGAGGATCAGGTAGGACTTCAAAGAGACCTGGACAGACTGGATACCTGGCTTCTCTAATTTAACCCCGTCAAATGCAAAGTCATGAAGATTGGGGAATGGCAAAGAAGACCGCAGACGGAGTATAGGCTAGGTGGCCAAAGACTGCAAACCTCGCTCAAGGAGAAAGATCTTGGGTTGAGTATAACACCGAGAACGTATCCAGAAGCACACATCAACCAGATAACTGCTGCAGCATATGGGCACCTGGCAAACCTGAGAATAGCGTTCCGACACCTTAGTAAGGAATCGTTCAAGACACTGTATACCGTGTATGTCAGGCCCATATTGGAGTATGCAGCACATGTTTAGAACCCACACTTGATCAAGCACGTCAAGAAATTAGAGAAAGTGCAAAGGTTTCCGACAAGGTTAGGTTCAGAGCTAAGGGGACTGTCCTACAGAGAAAGGTTGAGGGAAATCGGCCTGACGGCACTGGAGGACAGGAGGGTTAGGGGAGACATGATAACAACATACAAAATACTGCGTGGAATAGACAAGGTGGACAGAGACAGGATGTTCCAGAGAGGGAACACAGAAACAAGGGGTCACAATTGGAAATTGAAGACTCAGACGAGTCACAGGAATGTTAGGAAGTATTTCTTCAGTCATAGAGTTGTCAGGAAGTGGAACAGCCTAGCACTGAGGTAGTGGAGGCAGGAACCATACATAGCTCTAAGTTGAGGCATGATAAAGCTTATTTAGCAGGGAGAGAGAGGACCTAGTAGCACTCAGTGAAGAGGCGGGGCCAGGAGCTGAGTCTCGACCCCTGCAACCACAATTAGGTGAGTACAGTAAAGTTACAAGTGGTGGGGGAAGCAGGAAGGTCAGGGCGAATGAAGCCAAAGTACAAGAAAGGGGACTATGCGGCAATGAGGAATTTCCTGAACGGGGTTCAGTGGGACAGAGAACTGGCAGGGAAGCCAGTAAACGAGATGATGGAATATGTAACAACAATATGTAAGGAAGCTGAGGAGAGGTTTGTACCCAAGGGTAACATGAATAATGAAAAAGCCAGGATGAGCCCATGGTTCACCCAGAGGTGCAGGGAGGCGAAAACCAAGTGTGCTAGGGAATGGAATAAGTATAGTAGGCAAAGGACCCAGGAGAATAAGGGAAGCAGTCGTAGAGCCAGAAATGAATATGCACAGGTAAGAAGGTAGGCCCAAAGACAATATGAAAACGACATAGCAGCGAAAGCCAAATCTTACCCAAAGCTGTTTTACAGCCACATCAGGAGGAAAACAACAGTCAAGGATCAGGTAATCAGGCTAAGGAAGGAAGGAGGAGAGACAACAAGAAATGACCGTGAAGTATGTGAGGAACTCAACATGAAATTCAAGGAAGTGTTCACAGAGGAGGCAGAAGGGACTCCAGAAAGACGGAGAGGTGGAGTACACCACCAAGTGTTGGATACAGTACACACAACCGAGGAAGAAGTGAAGAGGCTTCTGAGTGAGCTAGATACCTCAAAGGCGATGGGATCGGATAACATCTCCCCATGGGTCCTGAGAGAGGGAGCAAAGGCGCTATGTGTACCCCTAACAACAATATTCAACACATCTATCGAAACAGGGAGATTATCTGAGGAATGGAAGACAGCAAATGTAGTCCCAATTTTTCAAAAAGAGTTAGACATGAAGCACTAAACTACAGTCCAGTGTCATTGACATGTATAGCATGCAAAGTCATTGAGAAGATTATCAGGAGAAGAGTGGTGAACAACAAGAAAGGAATGATCTCATCAACAGCAGCCAACATGGTTTCAGGGATAGGAGATCCTGTGTCAAAAACCTACTGGAGTTCTATGACAGGGTGACAGCAGTAAGACAAGAGGGAGAGAGGGGTGGGTAGATTGCATTTTCTTGGACTGTAAGAAGGCGTTTGACACAGTTCCACAAAGAGATTAGTGCAAAAACTGGAGGACCAAGCAGGGATAACAGGGAAGGCACTACAATGGATCATGGAATACTTGTCAGGAAGACAGCAGCGAATCATGGTAAGTGGCGAGGTGTCAGAGTGGGCACCTGTGACGAGTAGGGTCCCACAAGGGTCAGTCCTAGAACCAGTGCTGTGTCTGGTATTTGTGAATGACATGACAGAAGGAATAGACTCTGTTTGCAGATGACGTGAAGTTGATGAGAAGAATTCATTTGGATGAAGACCAGGCAGAACTACAAAGGGATCTGGACAGGCTGCAGATCTGGTCCTGCAATTGGTTCCTGGAGTTCAACCCCGAAAAGTACAAAGTCATGAAGATTGGGGAAGGGCAAAGAAGACTGCAGACGGAGTACAGTCTAGGGGGTCAGAGACTACAAACCTCACTCAAGGAAAAAGATGTTGGGGTGAGTATATCACCAGGCACATCTCCTGAGGCACACATCAACCAAATAACTGCTGCAGCATATGGGAGCCTGGCAAACCTAAGAACAGCATTCAGACATCTTAATAAGGAATCGTTCAGGACCCTGTACACCGTGTACGTTAGGCCCATATTGGAGTATGCGGCACCACTTTGGAACCCACACCTAGCCAAGCACGTAAAGAAACTAGAGAAAGTGCAAAGGTTTGCAACAAGACTAGTCCCAGAGTTAAGAGGTATGTCCTATGAGGAGAGGTTAAGGGAAATCAACCTGACGACACTGGAGGACAGGAGAGATAGGGGGGACATGATAACGACATACAAAATACTGAGAGGAATTGACAAGGTGGACAAAGACAGGATGTTCCAGAGATTGGACACAGTAACAAGGGGACACAGTTGGAAGTTGAAGACACAGATGAATCACAGGGATGTTAGGAAGTATTTCTTCAGCCACAGAGTAGTCAGTAAGTGGAATAGTTTGGGAAGCGATGTAGTGGAGGCAGGATCCATACATAGCTTTAAGCAGAGGTATGATAAAGCTCACGGTTCAGGGAGAGTGACCTAGTAGCGACCAGTGAAGAGGCAGGGCCAGGAGCTTGGACTCGACCCCCAACTAGGTGAGTACAACTAGGTGAGTACACACACACACACACACACACACACACACACACACACACACACACACACACACACACACACACACACACACAAATGAGTCAGAGAGATAGTAGGAAGTATTTCTTCAGTCATAGAGTTGTAAGGCAGTGGAATAGCCTAGAAAATGACGTAGTGGAGGCAGGAACCATACACAGTTTTAAGACGAGGTTTGATAAAGCTCATGGAGCGGGGAGAGAGAGGGTCTAGTAGTAACCGGTGAAGAGGCGGGGCCAGGAGCTAGGACTCGACCCCTGCAACCACAAATAGGTGAGTACAAATAGGTGAGTACACACACACACACACACACACACACACACATTTACACCTACACTGACGCAAATGACTAAACATAAAATTCCAAATATAGTCATTACCTAATAAATGTGAAGGTAGTCGTAAGTTTAGCAGACATACTTCTGTATAGGAACTTTAATATAAACTTTGTATCATGCCAACACAACCATTCTCATTACTAATTTTTCAAGTTCTTATATTCTTAAATGTTCTGAACTACCTCACTATTGTAAATCCATTTAATCATATGTAATATAGAGTAAGAATTACTATTTTTCTGCACGAAATGCCTAGGCCTGTTAGGCCTGCTAGTGGCCTTCTTTGTAATTATTGTTCTATATGTAAACCACCCATTGTAATCTTTACAGAGAAATATACATTTGAATTTGAATTTTAATAGTTGTTCAAATGTGTTCATGCAGATTAAGTAAGTTTATTTAGGTACAGGTATACATAAGTACAATTATTATATATAGTAACATATGTAAATTATCATCCAGGATGACCCAAAAAAAGTAAGACAAAGTGATTTATTTCCCATTGTACTCCCACTATAACCAGAGGTTCCTAGTAGATATGTTCATACTGATTTAAATATTAGTTTCTCAGGCAAAAACAGATAGTTAATGAACCCAGGAGCAAAAGTTGTGTACTTGATAACCTTGAGGTATACTGTGGCTCTGAATGTAACTTTCTGACCACTGACCTACACGTTACTCACAAACTGCAAGTATTGAATTTTCAACTTCCAAAACCAGCTAAGCTGTTTTTGCTCATACTCCATCAATAAGTCATACCCCAAGTCGGATTTAATATGCTCAGATATCCTTCATGGGGGTTCATTTATCTCCACTTTCAATTAAGGTTCTATGTGAATGTTTATTGTACAGAATGACTGGGGCAGCAGCGAAGTAGCTGTTGTGTGTAGCAATTTTAAGTTCTCCTTCTTGCTAGTACACCCAGATGTTCTCCTTGTCCATCCTAAGGAGGAAAAAATATATTAATTTTTATATTATACACATTGGTATAAAATTAATATGTAAGCATGTAAAGTGTCAGGAGTTGTAAATGACCAGCACCATGAAAATCTGTGTAATCTGCAGAAAGGGTAACAGATGAAGTCATGCCTGGACTGTATGCAATCTCTGTGGTAAATGGTCCCATGGGTCATGCAAAAACTTTAAACCAGCGACCACTTTTGATATAAAATCAGAGAAATGATTTTGGGTCTGCCCAAACGAGAAACACCTGTGGGAGAAAATTATATCTATATTAAAAGACAAAAACACCAATAAAATATCCTTCTTGAAAGATATGTCAGCCTGGTATAACAGCTACGAAAATAAAATGGGTGGCAGGTCTTGGAGGACAGTGCCCCAGAAGGTGCTAGTGATGTTCTGGAAGACAGAGCACCAAATGGAGATAATGGCCCTAGTGATGAAACAGGTAAAGACAATGTTATACAATTTACAAAGGTACAAAGTAGAGATACTGCTGGAGATCGAACAAAAGGGGATGATGCCTCAGGGAATAGTGTTGACAGATAAGATTTTGTTCGGATTTTTAATCGCGGAGGGTTAGCCACCCAGTATAACCCAAGAAAGTCATTGCATCATCGAGGACTGTCTTATTTCCATTGGGGTTCTGAATCTTGTCCCCAGGATGCAACCCACACCAATCGACTAACACCCAGGTACCTATTTGATGCTAGGTGAACAGGACAACAGGTGTAAGGAAACGTGTTGAAATGTTTCTACCCTGCCAGGAATCGAACCCGTGTGTTAAGCATTACCAGTAAAAGCTGGTGGAATCACTAATGTCTATACAGAAAACGTTCTCTCCGACCCTTGGAGTTAATGCAAAATAAAGCTCTCAGAATTATTCTTGGTTGTCCCAAATCAACAAAGGTTCTTAATATGCGGAAGGAACTTGGTATTTCTAGTATCAGTGATAGGATTGTTGAGATTAACACTGTACTCGGTATTAGAATGTTAAGAAATGAACCAGACTCTGTCACAGTGAACCTTACTAAGTGTCTAGAAGTAAATACACACAGATCTAAATGGATTGTGAAAAAGTGCAATTGCATTAAGTTTTATAACCTGCATGAACTGTATCACTGTAGGCAACAAGAGCATTTCACCCCTCCATGGAAGATGTGTTCATTTAATATAACATACCTGCAAGTCCCTCCCAAGAAGCTTATTGCTAGTAATCCCTTCCTTAAATCACTTGTTAAAGCAACTGCTCAAGAAGAAATTTCTCGCCTAGCTGGTAGTAATAAGTTATCACAAGTTATATACACTGATGGATCTAAACAGGAGTCTTCTGGCAGGGCTGCATCTGCTCTTGTTGCCACCTCCCTAGTTAAGAACGATAATAAATTTGTTGAGTTAGGCATAAGAATTAACAACTGGGCGTCTACATTGCAAACTGAATTGTTTGCAATCCTAATGGCGCTAAAGCTAACCTATGACACTGAGCTTGACTCTATCATCATTACTGATTCTATGTCATCATTGAAGGCTCTTGAATCATATAATGACTCTAACAACATGCTCATTGGAGAAGCCAGGTATAGATACTGAAAAATCAGGGACAAAGGAATTAATGTACAATTGCTATGGATCCCATCACACATTGGATTACTCCTTCATGATAAAGTTGATATGTTAACCAAGAAGAGTACCCAGAAGGAGAATGTAGAATATAACTTTGGTATAACTGTGTCAAGCATTAGGAATAATATTAGGAGAGAAGTAAATAATGAAAATGATTGTTATAGGAATGCAGTTAGAAGCCTGAGTAGATCTATAACCCACTATGATAACATGAACGTAGATAAGTATGTTTATGGAGCAACGTGCAATGTGAACAGACTGACTGATGTTGTAGTGGTCAGGCTTAGGCTTGGTTACAAGTACTTCTGGCAGTTTGGGAGACACACAGATGATGATCAAACTAAATGTAAATTATGTGATCAGGCATATGGTCACTCTCTTGAACACTATGTGCTTAATTGTCCACTTATTGAGGAATACAGAGACAGACAGTATAATAACCTATGTGACATGTCAAGATATCTTATTAATGAAAATAAGATACCAGATATACTAAGCAAATTTCCTAAATTTGCTTGTAACAGATAAGTGAACTATAGATATGTAGATATAAATCCATATGTATTCCTGTTAGCCATTTGGGGCCTAGTTCCTAGGCCTTTTGTGTATCCATATGCTCTCGCGCTACCGTCCACAGGATGGATATGGGGTGCACAATAAACTAGCCACTTCGGTGGCAAAATCTAATCCTGGAATTGCTGGGAAGTTGTATCTGGAAGCTTGTATATTACCACAATAACAAGGTTTTGGTTTTTGATATTTACCGCCAAAACTTCAACTACATCATTTGAGGTGTTTAGTAGTTCTGTGCAAATGAGCGACTCTGTGACATACAGGCCAACCCCCCTCCCCCTTGTCTGTTTAGTCTTTCTCATCGGAATAGGTTATAACCTGGGATCCATATTTCGTTGTCATAATGATCCTTTATGTGGGTCTCTGTGAATGCTGCAAACATTGCATTTGACTCCATGAGCAGTCTCTTGATGTAAGGAATTTTGTTTTTTGACGGCTTTAGACCCTGTATGTTTGCAAAGACAAATGTCGTATTGGTGGAATTTAGGGGGGGTTTATTTGCTGACTCTAATATATGTTGTTCTGGGGTAGAGGCCAATGTCCATGCCTCTGCTCCAGAAGTGTTTTCAGGTGGTGTAAGATAATTGTCATTTCTTGCCAGTCTTTTTTACCTTCTGGCCCTAAAAATCCTCTGTCCCTGGAGAGGTTGTGGCTCCTCTCTTTTGTTTCCCATAGTGTGGCTGGTCTGTGTCTTCTAGTCCCCTTTAGATGATGTGCCTGGCAGTATGCATTGTAGCATTTTCTTTCATGGATTGATGAGTGACACATTTCTGGGTGAAATAAGTTGCAAGAAGGGAAGTTGCACTCTCCTGTTGTCATGTGGGTGCGGCATTTTTTGGGATGGTCAAAGGTCCCGCCTGTTTTACCAGATATACCGTGCCTGCAGATACCCAAGGCATAGTATTTACAAAGATTGGACTTCTGTTTGCTAGGATTTATTGTAGCTGCGTTCGCTGCTGGTGCATTTATTTTTCCTGTTTACTCAATACCTTTTACCCCTGTATGGACATCAGTGCTTCCACCAGGTTTTGCTGGTAGTGTATCGACACTATTCCCTGAGGTCTCATCCCATTTTGATCCATCTCCAGCAGTACCTCTATTTTGAAACTCTGTGGACTGAATAAGGTTGTCTTCAGTGTCCTCCAGGACAACACTAGTACCCTCACGAGCTCTATTTTCTAAGACATCACTAGGACCCTCTGGAGCACTTTCCTCTAGGACAACACTAGCACCCTCAGCACTGTCCTCCAGGACAGCACTAGCACCCTCAGCACTTTCCTCCAGGACAACACTAGCACCCTCAGCACTGTCCTCCAGGACAGACTAGCCACTTCAGGAGCACTGTCCAAGACAGCTCCATCCCTACCAACGATTTTTTTTTCTCAGTTGTCATACCATGCTGACATGTCTTTCAAGAAGGATGTTTTATTGTTCTTGTCTTTTAATATAGATGTTATTTCCTCATACAGGTGTATCTTGTTTGGGCAGACCCAAAAACATCTCTCCGAGTTTATGTCAAGTGTGGCCACTGGTTTAAAATCCCTGCATATACCATGGGACCATTGACCAAACAGATGGCAAGCAATCCAGGCATGTTTTCGTCCCTTACTCTTTCTGCAGACTACACAGATCTTCATGGTAGTGTTCATCTTACAATATTTGACAACTCTCCTAGCTAGCTAGTCTATAATTCCCCGATGTATTTAATTTTTTGTAACAGTTCTTCCGATTTGGCTTTATTTCCAACGAAACCGTTTGAATCCACCCGAATCCGGCTTTGTTTCCACAAAAAGCATTTGAACCCGCCCGAATCCAGCAAAATCCATTTGAATCCGGTCGAATCCAGCGAATCTGGTAGAATCCAGCTAGTGGATCAATGTATATCTTTTTTCCTGATAAGCACCTTAACAGTAGATCTGTCTATCTGTATTGTAACTATTTGCTGTAGTTTCTGTCTGAGTGTTTGATGGGGCACGTAGAGCCCATCATGATGTTAGTGAAACCAGTCAGAGGATATATTGTTATCAACGAATCCGTTTGAATCCTGTTGTTGGATGATTCCGAGCAGATCCGGATTAGCTCACTGGGTGATATTGGACTAGCTCATAAAAAGACTACTAGAAAAAAAAATTAAATGTTAATGTGTGTTCAGTTTGATACAGAAAGTATAACTTGCGTGTTTGGACGCCAATGGCTTCAATATATGGAGATTACTGGAGGAATAATGATTTCTTTGCATATATTGTGACCGCTGTTAACTACAGGTTTACCACACACTGTATACGTCACTCCATCACAATAAGTACTAACAACTACACACTGTATACGTCACTCCATCACAATAAGTACTAACAACTACACACTGTATACGTCACTCCATCACAATAAGTACTAACAACTACACACTGTATACGTCACTCCATCACAATAAGTACTAACAACTATACACTGTTTATCATATTTCTACAAAACTGTACACTTTTCATATTTCCTCGAGATTTTGCACCTCTTCGTATTTCAACAGGAATGTTTTATTCCATGGAATCACTAATTTTAAGTCAGGTAGACTAGTAGATCTACGTGGGAGGGTTCTGACGACTGTTTACAACATGAACCTGCCTCTTTGGGCCTAACACTTCAGTTTTAAATTTCATCTTATCATTTATTATCCATATACCACTGTGGTACACACTACAACACTATGTATAACACTATTATCAGCGAAACTGTCTTTCCTCTGACAAAAAGGTTCTAATATTATTGTCACTGGCACACTAGGCTTAACGTTCCCCTCTGAGAGTATGGTTATGCTGCCTTATTGTACACTAGATATTTTCTGCAAAATTATTTCCAAACACTAGAGGGATATATCTTATAAGTTCGCTGGCACAGTTTGAAGTTCTAGTACGCAAGAGAGACTGTGAAAAAACATGAAAGAACACGGCAGCACGGCACGGCACAGCACGGCATGGCACGGCACGGCACAGCACGGCATGGCATGGCATGGCATGGCACGGCACGGCACGGCACGGCACGGCACGGCACGGCATGGCACGGCACGGCACGGCACGGCACGGCACGGCACGGCACGGCACAGCACGGCATGGCATGGCATGGCATGGCACGGCACAGCACGGCATGGCATGGCACGGCACGGCACGGCACGGCACAGCATGGCACGGCACGGCACGGCGTGCTTCCTAGGTGGTATATTGGTAATACTCTCTTCTCTGGTGGGATATTGGTAATACAGTGGACCTGCAACCAATGGAATTAATCCGTTCCAAAGGGCTTGCCATTGGTCGAAATTGCCGTTGGTCGAGTTAATTTTGCCCATAAGAAATAATGAAAATAGAATTAATCCGTTCCTGACACCCCAAAGACTGATTTTTTTTTTTTTACATGAAATATACATTTCCTTATATGGAAAGGAATGGGACATGCAAAATAAACAATAATTAAATGCCACTTACCTTTATTGTGGAGTTAAGACACTTGTGCAACATCTGGTTATCTTTATTGTAGACGTTTCACCATCCAGTGGCTTTATCAATACAGATTCTTGGACATAATAAGAAAACAGAAGAACTATATACAAAAGACGAGGTGGTGTTTAGGTTGAGGGACTGATTACCCCTTTTTGTATATAGTTCTTCTGTTTTCTTATTAATCAGAATATTAAATAGCATGGGACTAAGAACTCCTCCCTGCGGTGTACCTAAAGACATTTCTTTAGAATCACTTCTGAAGCCTTGGTAAAGGACAGAGGATACTCTATTTGACAGGTATCCTATTATCCAGCAGAGTAAGCTACCACCAATATTCATTTTGGCTAGTTCATGTAGTATAACGGTTCTGTTCGCAATATCAAATGCAGATTTTAGATCAAGAAAAGTGGTAAAACTAGTAGAGGTGTGTGCAGTGAGAAAGGTGGAAATACAGTTCTGCACACTTTTACCTTTCATGAACCCATAGAGGTAGGGGGAAAGTTGATGTCTGATTCTGTAGTACAGTCTGTTAAGCATCATTCTTTCAAAAGTTTTACAAAGACAACTAGTTAAGGAGATCGGCCTAAATGTATCAGGCTGTTGGGGCAAATGTAAATTATGTGATCAGGCATATGGTCATTCTCTTGAACACTATGTGCTTAATTGTCCACTTATTGAGGAATACAGAGACAGACAGTATAATAACCTATGTGACATGTCAAGATATCTTATTAATGAAAATAAGATACCAGATATACTAAGCAAATTTCCTAAATTTGCTTGTAACAGATAAGTGAACTATAGATATGTAGATATAAATCCATATGTATTCCTGTTAACCCTTTGGAGCCTAGTTCCTAGGCCTTTTGTGTATCCATATGCTCTCGCGCTACCGTCCACAGGATGGATATGGGGTGCACAATAAACTAGCCACTTCGGTGGCAAAATCTAAATCTAATTTGACCAGCCGGGCTGTGGCTCGTACATTGGTTTGCGTGCAGCCAGCAGCAACAGCCTGGTTGATCAGGCTCTGATCCACCAGGAGGCCTGGTCACAGATCGGGCCGCGGGGGCGTTGACCCCCGGAACTCTCTCCAGGTAAACTCCAGGTAAGTGGTAATAAAAAGTTCCTTTTTAATAACATCAATAATTTATATGTAGTAATCACATTGTGTTCCCAGCACAACATTAATATTCTAGAGTAACTGGTTTTAATATTATAATTATTAATTTAATGTCAGGTCTAGTTTTTTGTGAGAGTGGTGAAGAAGTGTGCAGTTGAAGGAACTGCAGTTCAGAGACCTACTGTGAGTAAGTCTCACTTATCTCACCCAAGTTACTTGCAGGTAATAATTCAGGTGATGTCCTGTAAACCTCTTGCAGGTGATTTGCTCACATAATAATAATGATAATAATAATGATAATAATACTAATTTAAAAAACTAACCTTATTTCAAAATGGCCCCATAGCATACCAGGGCCAGTTTAGCGATTGCTCTCCATTTAGATCTATTAACAATATAAATGTCTACAAGAGTGCTGATATTTTATGCATTTATCACAAAGTATATGACTGTTATGTTGTTATCAGTCATGTTGTCGCACTACAAGAAATATAAGTAGCATACATATGTATATAGTGAACGTGTGAAGAGTGTAAGATTTTCATACCAACTTACATGACCAGAAATCAAGGTATCAGGTGTTTAACACAGTCTTCTTATTTATAGCTCATATAACAAAGAGGAATTACTGTACTATGATGGAACGTTGCTGGTTACTAAACTTGTATTACTGGAAGGGAAAGAAGACAGGAAGGTAAATATGATGGTGGAAGAAAGAAAGGATGGGTAGGAAAATAACGGTGCGACCCTCACCTCCAAAAAACACATCCCATAAGGTCGTCAGTGAAGTCCCTGAGCTGTGCCTCCTCCACCTGTGGGATGTTAGTGGAGGAGACATAGAAGCCACCCCACACTGTCACTCCTGTAGCGGTCAGCTGCTGCATCAACTGCTGACAGCTCTCCACGCTGAGATCACAGCTAGCCAGCCTCATGCAGCTGAATCCTCTGAAGTACAGACATAACCTTAGCTCACTTCATCATCATGTACTTTTTAATTCAGGGAGAAATGTAAATGAAAATTTTCAATAATGGAGAAACTCAAACACACATAACAAAGAACAATAAAAGTATATGTATTTCAGAGGCTGCGTGATCCGAGAGATTCTCCGTACTTCATAACGTCAGTCCCTGTACTGCATGGTAGTGTGTTTTATCCCTGAGTGGCTAATCCCTGAGCGGCTAATCCTTGAGCGGCTAATCCGACGACCCAACATAACGTTAGGAGCCAGAGTGTAGGTGGTGTTAAGAGTGGTTTTGGTTACTCTGTCTCCTAACATCATGTTGGGTCGTCGAGTTAAAATATCCCCAGGTGATAACATGAGGGTGAACATAGGTGAGTAGAGGAAGGATGTTTTAGGGATGAAGTTAGTTTAATACGTTTATCATGCACCCCATACCCATCCTGTGGACGGTAGTCAAAAGATTACAGAGGTACATAATGGGTCCAGGGACTGGACTCCAAAGTTTTGATAGCTGTGCAAGTTACAGAGGTAATGAACTCACAGTTTACAAAGGTAATGAACTCACAATTTACGAAGGTAATGAACTCCAGTGAGAAATGTAATATGTAGCATAGATGTGAAATGAAAAATGTGGTATGAATATTCAGTTTGAGAAACGAAATGTGTAAAATTAGTTTTATATTTTAATGATGATAGTGGGTAAGTTGTGTTATTTTTTTTAAGTTATCATATGTCTTAAGTGATCATGAAGAGATTTAGTGTTTGTGATGGAGATGGAGTAGTGTTTTAGATTATGGTATAAGTGTACATGATTTAGTGGTCTTTGTAAAATTTGTTTTTATATGTCTTAAGTGTTTATGTTTAACTTTTTTGTGTGTGAATTTATTATGTGTTTTCATATGTCTTAAATGATTGTGTGTCGGTTTTTTTTTTTTGTGAACAAGTGAATGTTTTGTGTTTTTGGCTGATAGTGTACTTGTCAAGTTTTTGGCTGATAGTGTACTTGTCAAGTTTTTGGCTAATAGTGTACTTGTCAAGTTTATGGCTGATAGTGTACTTGTCAAGTTTTTGGCTGATAGTGTACTTGTCAAGTTTTGGGCTAATAGTGTACTTGTCAAGTTTATGGCTGATAGTGTACTTGTCAAGTTTATGGCTGATAGTGTACTTGTCAAGTTTTTGGCTGATAGTGTACTTGTCAAGTTTTTGGCTGATAGTGCACTTGTCAAGTTTTTGGCTGATAGTGTACTTGTCAAGTTTATGGCTGATAGTGTACTTGTCAAGTTTATGGCTGATAGTGTACTTGTCAAGTTTTTGGCTGATAGTGTACTTGTCAAGTTTTTAGCTAATAGTGTACTTGTCAAGTTTTTGGCTGATAGTGTACTTGTCAAGTTTATGGCTGATAGTGTACTTGTCAAGTTTATGGCTGATAGTGTACTTGTCAAGTTTATGGCTGATAGTGTACTTGTCAAGTTTTTGGCTGATAGTGTACTTGTCAAGTTTTTGGCTGATAGTGTACTTGTCAAGTTTATGGCTGATAGTGTACTTGTCAAGTTTATGGCTGATAGTGTACTTGTCAAGTTTATGGCTGATAGTGTACTTGTCAAGTTTTTGGCTGATAGTGTACTTGTCAAGTTTTTGGCTGATAGTGTACTTGTCAAGTTTTTGGCTGATAGTGTACTTGTCAAGTTTTTGGCTGATAGTGTACTTGTCAAGTTTATGGCTGATAGTGTACTTGTCAAGTTTTTGGCTGATAGTGTACTTGTCAAGTTTTTGGCTGATAGTGTACTTGTCAAGTTTTTGGCTGATAGTGTACTTGTCAAGTTTTTGGCTGATAGTGTACTTGTCAAGTTTATGGCTGATAGTGTACTTGTCAAGTTTATGGCTGATAGTGTACTTGTCAAGTTTTTGGCTGATAGTGTACTTGTCAAGTTTTTGGCTGATAGTGTACTTGTCAAGTTTTTGGCTGATAGTGTACTTGTCAAGTTTTTGGCTGATAGTGTACTTGTCAAGTTTTTGGCTGATAGTGTACTTGTCAAGTTTATGGCTGATAGTGTACTTGTCAAGTTTATGGCTGATAGTGTACTTGTCAAGTTTATGGCTGATAGTGTACTTGTCAAGTTTATGGCTGATAGTGTACTTGTCAAGTTTTTGGCTGATAGTGTACTTGTCAAGTTTTTGGCTGATAGTGTACTTGTCAAGTTTTTGGCTGATAGTGTACTTGTCAAGTTTTTGGCTGATAGTGTACTTGTCAAGTTTATGGCTGATAGTGTACTTGTCAAGTTTATGGCTGATAGTGTACTTGTCAAGTTTATGGCTGATAGTGTACTTGTCAAGTTTTTGGCTGATAGTGTACTTGTCAAGTTTTTGGCTGATAGTGTACTTGTCAAGTTTTTGGCTGATAGTGTACTTGTCAAGTTTTTGGCTGATAGTGTACTTGTCAAGTTTTTGGCTGATAGTGTACTTGTCAAGTTTTTGGCTGATAGTGTACTTGTCAAGTTTTTGGCTGATAGTGTACTTGTCAAGTTTATGGCTGATAGTGTACTTGTCAAGTTTTTAGTCAATATGTTTGTGTGAAAGTTTATATCTTCATTTTGTTTTAAGTGCTCATGTCAAATTTTGTGCAAATGTTGATTAGTTATCATATCTTCTGAGTTTATGTATATATTTTGTGTGTACTTACCTAATTGTACTCACCTAATTGTGGTTGCAGGGGTCGAGACTCAGCTCCTGGCCCCGCCTCTTCACTAATCGCTACTAGGTCCTCTCTCTCTCTGCTTCCAGAGCTTTGTCATACCTCGTCATAAGGCTATGTATAGTTCCTGCCTCCACTACATCACTTGTTAGGCTATTCCACTTCCTGACGACTCTATGACTCAAGAAATACTTCCTAACATCCCTATGACTCGTCTGAGTCTTCAGCTTCCAATTGTGACCCCTTGTTTCTGTGTCCCCTCTGTGGAACACTCAGAAGCCTCTTCATTTCTTCCTTGGTTGTATGTACTGTGTCCAGCACTTGGTGGTGTGCCCCACCTCTCCGTCTTTCTGGAGTCCCTTCTGTCTCCTCTGTGAACACTTCTTTGAATCTCTTGTTGAGTTCCTCACATACTTCACGGTCATTTCTTGTTGTCTTTCCTCCTTCCTTCCTTAGACTGATTACCTGGTCTTTGACTGTTGTTTTCCTCCTGATGTGCCTGTATATCAGCTTCGGGTCAGATCTGGCTTTCGCTGCTATGTCGTTTTCATATTGTCGTTAGGCCTCCCTTCTTATCTGTGCATATTCATTTCTGGCTCTACGACTGCTCTCCTTATTCTCCTAGGCCCTTTACCTTCTATATTTCTTCCATTCTTTAGCACACTTGGTGTTTGCCTCCCTGCACCTTTGGGTGAACCATAGGCTCATCCTGGCTTTTTCATTATTCCTGTTACCCTTGGGTACAAACCTCTCCTCAGCCTCCTTGCACATTGTTGTTACACATTCCATCATCTCATTAAGTGGCTTCCCTGTCAATTCTCTGTCCCACTGAACCCCGTTCAGGAAGTTCCTCATTCTCGTGTAGTCCCCTTTCTTGTAGTTTGGCTTCATTCTCCCTGGCCTTCCTGCTTCCCACTCCACTTGTAGCTCTACTGTGTATTCGAAGCTTAAAACCACATGATTGCTGGCCCCAAGGGGTCTTTCATATGTGATGTCCTCAATATCTGCACTACTCAAGGTGAATACTAGGTCCAGTCTCGCTGGTTCATCCTCTCGTCTCTATCTCTTGTAGTGTCCCTTACGTGTTGGTACATGAAGTTTTCCAGTACCACCTCCATCATCTTAGCCATTCATGCATCTTGGCCCCCATGTGGCTCCAAGTTCTCCCAATCGATGTGTGTGTGTATGTGTGTGTGTGTATGTGTGTGTGTATGTGTGTGTGAGTATGTGTGTGTGTGTGTGTGTGTGTGTGTGTGTGTGTGTGTTGTTTGTGTGTGTGTGTGTGGTGTGTGTGTGTGTGTGTGTGTGTGTGTGTGTGTGTGTTTGTGTGTGTTTGTGTTTGTGTGTGTGTGTGTGTGTGTGTATGTGTATGTGTATGTGTATGTATATTTGCGTGTGTGTGTATGTGTGTACTCACCTAGTTGTACTCACCTAGTTGAGGTTGCGGGGGTCGAGTCCGAGCTCCTGGCCCCGCCTCTTCACTGATCGCTACTAGGTCACTCTCCCTGAGCCGTGAGCTTTATCGTACCTCTGCTTAAAGCTATGTATGGATCCTGCCTCCACTACATCGCTTCCCAAACTATTCCACTTACTGACTACTCTGTGGCTGAAGAAATACTTCCTAACATCCCTGTGATTCATCTGTGTCTTTAGCTTCCAACTGTGTCCCCTTGTTACTGTGTCCAATCTCTGGAACATCCTGTTTTTGTCCACCTTGTCAATTCCTCTCAGTATTTTGTATGTCGTTATCATGTCCCCCCTATCTCTCCTGTCCTCAAGTGTCGTCAGGTTGATTTCCCTTAACCTCTCCTCGTAGGACATACCTCTTAGCTCTGGGACTAGTCTTGTTGCAAACCTTTGCACTTTCTCTAGTTTCTTTACGTGCTTGGCTAGGTGTGGGTTCCAAACTGGTGCCGCATACTCCAATATGGGCTTAATGTACACGGTGTACAGGGTCCTGAACGATTCCTTATTAAGATGTCGGAATGCTGTTCTGAGGTTTGCTAGGCGCCCATATGCTGCAGCAGTTATTTGGTTGATGTGCGCTTCAGGAGATGTGCCTGGTGTTATACTCACCCCAAGATCTTTTTCCTTGAGTGAGATTTGTAGTCTCTATCCCCCTAGACTGTACTCCGACTGCAGTCTTCTTTGCCCTTCCCCAATCTTCATGACTTTTTACTTGGTGGGATTGAACTCCAAGAGCCAATTGCTGGACCAGGTCTGCAGCCTGTCCAGATCCCTTTGTAGTTCTGCCTGGTCTTCAATCGAATGAATTCTTCTCATCAAGTTCA